GGGAAAGTTCCTTCAGATCTAACCAGATGAGTAGCAAGGCAAATTAAATGAAAATGTTGGCCAAGGAAAGTTAGGCATCAGTATAAAATTTCTTATAATAGTGTTTACACTCATTTATTGAATTCTATTTGTCAGCTTCTGTGCTGATCACTTTATATACACTATTTCATTGGGTTTACACAACCAATTTTAAGTTCAAAATTTTCCTTACTTTACAAACAGTGAAGATATTTGGTGATACTACATGTTCCATAAATATAAAGCTAGGTGTTGGTGGAGCTGGGATTTGAACGTTGATTTATCTGATTTCAAACCGTAGTATTCTCTATTATGCTACATTTTCTCTCTAGGTAGAGAGTGGTTATAGATGTTGTAGAGGGTTTATTTTCATATTCAGTGTATCCACTAATGCATTTTGTAAGAGAAAATTTAGAAGAAAAATATTCAGCAATATATAAACATCTCTAGGAATTATAAAAGATTCCACAAGGAATAGGTGTTGATTTTCTAAGTTTAATGATATATTTTATCTTTAATTCTGTTTTTTTAAACACTTCTAATTCTTTTGCTTTTGTAGAAAAAGGAATTGAAATGCCAAGGGATTACGGATGTTAGAGTCTGACCTATTGACATGTATTGCTACCGTTCTTAGGATATTAGAGCTGGCTGGAGATAGAGAGGTCAAAGTATACCCTATAGACCATTGAGATTTGGATAGGTAAGATTATTTCCTTAAAGTTACATGGCTGCTAAGTGGCCAATTTAACAATAGAACTCAAGTTCCTGTGTCCTGAGCAGTCCAGGACTGCCTACACTTTATATCAATTCTTTTTCTTTTTTTAAAGAGGTTTTCATCTCAGGGCACGAATTTGGGGAGGGGGGCAGTGACAGAGACAGTGAGAGGGAAAGTGAAAAATATCACCCCCCAGGGAGATATCTGTGCCTCTATCCCTTCTTCTCCATTCTTTTTCTGGGATCTTGGGCATGTGCACACACACGCATCCAGCGTGATTTTGAAGCCACCAGGTCTGGGACTCCAACCGTGGTCAGCCATGTGGAAGTCCAGCAATGTAACCAGTACAACATCTGCTAGCCCCTGTATGTCAATTCTTAAATTTTGTTCACTTTCTTCTCTTCATCCTTAAAGTTCTCTTTTCTCTCCATGGGAAAATGCCATTCTCATGTGCAAGGTATTTGGGAAAGGTGAGTATCTAGCTCAGATTGTCTAGGAAAGTAGAATGTAGGTTAGGAAAATTGACAGTACTCCTTGCTAAGGTGGGGATACGTTTTTAGCTTTAAAATCTATTCCCTCCAGAGATGTGATTGTGGAGTGGTCATCCTCCTTGGGAGTAGAGGGTAGGGGTAAAAAGCTAGCCCTTTAACCACCCATATAGTCTGAAATCCACTAAATTGCTTTTTTATTAAAATTACTCATTGTTCCCCAAACTTTTACCTATATTCCCAGATTACATGAATAGTTATAAACCATCTACTAATCACTTTTATTTTCATTAAATATTTATTGACTACCTACTGTGAATTAGGCAGTATGTTAGGTATTAGAGCTATACAGATGAAAGTGCAAATACTCGCATAAAGAAACACATCTTAGTCTGTCTAGAGAAGTCAGGAGATTTAACCGAGGAAGCAACACTGAATTTAGATTTTAAAAATGAGTAGGAACTTGATTTGTGAATGACGGGAGAAAATTTCAAGTAGAGGAATACTGAGATTTGGAAAATACTTTAACTGAGGTGGTAGGAGACAGATGGAAGTTGGCTGGGCAAGGTACATAGTTCGGAAAGTAATAACAGGCATTCATTCTAGAATATCCATTTGTAAAATTTTTATTATGTACCCATAACATTAATCTTTTTGTCTTATATTAGAGGTATTGTGAACAAAATAAAAACAGTCCTTGCTCAGGTAGACCAATATTACAGTCTGCAAGAGGATTCAAAGAAGAAAAAGGCCATCATCACTGTATTGTTTAGTAACCCTTCAGATGAAAGAAAGTTGAGTGCTCTTAGAGCAAGTGGGAAGGAAATTGACTTACATTTGATAGGTCAAAAAAGATTTCCCAGAGGAAGTGATACCTGAAACAGTGTCTTCAAGATTAGTAAGACTAGTTGGGAAAAGAAGCTAACATGTGAATGGAGTGGTCCAGGTAGGGACGTAGCACATGCAGAAGCTCAAATGTAAAAGATAGCATGAATTAAAGAATGTAATATACTAGAGAATGTTGGGTTAGAGGAATGTGGAAAGCGATGGAGCTAGAGAAGTAAGCAGAAGTCAGATCATCAGGTCACAACAGCTCTTACGGTTATATTACTGAGTTTGGGTCTTAGCCTAAAAACAGTGGTGAGGAATTAAAAAGTTTTAAAGTGTATTTTAGAACTATTATTTCAACTAAAATACAGAATAGACTAAAAAAGGACAAGATGAGTTCAGGGAGGCCAGAGGGAATTGTTTGTCTTGATCTCGGAGAGAGGTACTAGGAGAGAGAGGAAATTAGAGAAATAATAGAATGTAATTTTAAACTTACCTGATGCTCTTACCCATTAGGGGAGACTCTAGAGGAGTAGAGTTAATTAAGGATGGTTCCTAGATTTCTGGCCTGAGAAATTGAATAAATGTTGTGATAAGGAATGGTGAGAAAGACATTGCAACTGGGAGTGTCAGTGAAGCAGGGTAGAGAAGAATAGAAATTCACACTGAGGTGGTTGTGTAGACAGGTGGAGGTGTTTCTACTGGAATTATGTATCTTAATCTCAGGAGAGAGATCTAGACTGGATATTATTTGAATTAATCATACATCGATAGAATAGATTGCCTAGTAATATGTAGAATTTGGAAAGTTTATACATATAAAGCACCTACAAATGTTTATTTTTATTAGTAATATATTGAAATGTGATATTTAGATAGTGAAGATACACACGCAGGACTTTAAAGTGTTACCTTTTTCTGTTTCAAAAATCAATTGTATGTTGTCTCTAATTGTTATGGACATATAACTATGCAGTGCACTGTCCATGTGATGAGTAATTAGCAATGCAGATGTTTAATTGTAATTGTATACGTGAAACATAAATGCTAATAGTTATTTTTATAGTCAGGAGATAAACATTTTAAGGAATTGATGTCATTCTTAGGTAACATGGCTTTTTCTTTTATTACAGCTTTTGATTGGCTTTGAATCTGGAACAGTAGTTTTATGGGACCTCAAATCAAAGAAAGCAGACTACAGATACACATATGATGAGGTAATAGCATTATTTTTTCTAATAAAAACTTTTTTTTTCCAGAGGCCACATGCAGTTACCATAGAGAGAAGTAAAGGAAGAAAGCAACCCCCCATGGGGATCTGCTTATTTTGCAATCATTTCTCCTCCATTTCTCCATCCTGTCATGCCCAGCTTGTTTTTCAAACCACCTAAAGGCTAGATTTGAACCACAGTCAGCTATGTGGAGTCCTGCTCCCGTAATCCCCCAACCACTAGGCTGCAGGGCTGGGCATATTGGTCAATTTTTAATTCAAAATAGTTTCTCTAAGAACTTAATTGTAATTGCAATAACACACATTCATTGTTGTTGATGATGATGTTATAGTAGGGAATATATGCTCATAGTTCAAGAGGTACAGAAACCTTTTCTTCGCTTCTGGCATTTGTTCATCTCCTTCCCTTATAGTTACTGTCTTAGTAGTTTTTCTCATGTTCTTCTAGACAGCCTATGCATTTGCAAGCATATTTATAGATACATTCCATTTTTTCTTTTATGAAAATAATAACATACCATAGACATATAGTTTGCTTCTGAGATCCAAATAAAGATTGATTATGAATGATTAATAGTCTTTTACATCTCTTCCAAACTGTAGGCTTTTCTTCTCACTTCCCTTCCTTACCTTATTGCTCCTTTTTGTCATTTATTTGTTGAAGTAGTCTGCCAACTGTTGTGTTTTTGTGAATGCAAAATATGTTTACTTTCCCTCTTTTTATTTTTTTGCAAATTAGACCATTTACTTAGGCTTTTTAGTAAAGACTAGTTTGTAGAAGATACTGATGGTCTTCTGTCTGTTGGAACCTAAGTGTCTGTTTATGATCTTTGTGGTCGGTGACACTTAAGGATAAGTGTCTTGGTGCCTGGTGATTGCCAATTGGAGGTACTCTAATTTTATCATTCCTTCTCTGTTAGCCAAGACACTTCAGTAAAGAGAAACGTCCTCTGTTTGCTATCTGGTTATATACAACTGTAGTTCATACAGGAATTCAGGATAAAGAATTGGCTTTTAATCTTTATTTCAGTACTCTAAAGAGTTGTTCTTCAGTTCTGAATTTTAGGTGCACAGTGATTTAAACATATTTGATATGTTTCCATTGAAATTAATGTCCTTATTACTTTCCAAATTGTCCTATTTTTGGTCAGTGAATTTCCTTCAGTTTTCTTCCAGGTGCTTTGGTGATAGATAGTCTTAGATAGTTTCCTTGCTATTGGCATAACTGAATATATCTACAAATCTTGTATATTTTTGCACCAAACCTAGAATAAGAATTTTTTCTATGGAATAGGATGTCTTTCAGTGGGAAATGATATCTAGCATCCATAATTTGGATACCTGGAGTGTTCATGGATCCTAACAAATTCATAGAGCTATTTCTGGGAGATATGTAGGTGTTTTTATTTGCCTGTGTGTTTTTAAGGTAAAATGTGTCATGTTTTCATGTTGATGAGCTGAGTTACTCAAACAGCAGACTGCACTGAGTAAACTATAGCAATACTTTGAATACTCTAAAAACATTTGCATTTTACCATTGTAAGCATGACTGAAAGACATTTTGCTTTCATAACTGCATACTTTTTGTTGCTTGATAGTCAATATCTTCAAATTAAAAACAAACATTTTAAGTAAAGGGTTTCTATCATTTCTCTGGAAATTTTGGCGTTTCTTTTCTTTTCTTTTCTTTTCTTTTCTTTTCTTCTCTTTTCTTTTTCCAATTCTAATTCCAATTCTGTTTTTATAAGCTGGAGATGGGTGCATGCAAGAGTGAACACTGCACCAGCAGGGCCCAATAGCAGTGCAGTCCTTTTTCCTACAGTTGTTCATTGTGTCAGGGTCCTGGGAATGTGTACACATGCCAGATGTATAAACTGCTTGGGATGGGACGTAAACCTTGGTCAGCCATGTGAAATCTGGCTCCCTTTGCATCGCCAGGGAGCTTACTTAACCACTGTGCTACAGGGCTGGCCCTGTAAATCTGTTTTCTGTTCAAATGAAAACAGATCTTCAGAGTTGACTGTTTTAGTTTTGCCTTTTTCTTTTTATTTCTTTTTTTAATTTTCCAGAGGTTTCGCGTGCTCACCAGACAAATACATAGAGTAAGAGAGGGGAAGGAAAGGCTGTCAGATGGCGTGGCCGTTAAGTTGCTGAACTTCTATGTGGGGTGAAAACGATTTGAGTTCTGGACCTGGTGGTTTGCTCTCTCTCTCTCTCTCTCTGGTTGAATTAAAAATAATAATAATAATAAATTAAATAAATGATTCTTTAAAAAAAAGAGAAAGAGAGGGAGGAGGGGGGAAAGTGAGAAAGCCTCCCTCATGGAGAGTGGTCACACCAAAATCCTTTCTCTTTTTCTTTTTTGGAGGGCAGCATTTTGGGCACACATATGGCTTTCAAACTTCTGGGTCCAAGACTTGAACCAGAACCATGTCTTCAGCAATGTGGGATCCAGTCAGCTTAACCACCAGACCACAGGCTGGCCCTGGTTTGGTTTTTACAGCTTTAATAGTGATCTTGGCTCAAGCCATTGTGGAGCCACATAACTAGATTTACATTTCTGCCTTCAACAGAGGAAGTAGACAGACTGTATAAAACCATTTTTAGCAGTTAGACAATAGATGGTGTAGACTAGGATCTTTTAAAGCAAGGAAACAGACCAGGTGAGCCCTTCAATTGCCTTAGCTAGTGACTTCGAGAGATATTCCAGCTCTCAGTACATTAAGAGCTAACTTAGGAGGAAACTTAGTGGTCTCCCTGAGTTGAAGAGACGGAGTTGAGAAATATAGAAGCCATGCCATCCACAGCTTATAAGGCAAAATGCCAGAGAGCAAAGAGTTACCTAGAATTTTGATTTGTTTTTCCCTTAAGTTTTGCTGTAGGGTACAGTTGCTTCTTAGAGAGACAGGGGGTGGGGAAGTTGACTCCATGAACTCCTTTCTACTTCATGCCCCTCTCAGGATTTGGGGCATGCATGCACATGTGCCCTGTATGATTTTTAAGTTGTAGGTTCAGGACTTAGACCATGAAGTTAGCCGTGTGGGTTCTAGCACCTTAGCTGTCATGCCATCTGCTAACTTGAGCTGCCTGGAGCTTTAAAAGTCTGCAGAATACTCATCTCAAGTCTAAAGTCAGGTGCTTATTAAGTATATGGTATGAAGCTTGGGAAAAATCCACTAGTGTCACTGGACTCCCACGTAGTCGACTGCAGCTAGAGTCCCAGACCCAGCAGCTTGAGACTTATGTTGGGCATGTGTGCATGCCTATCCAAAATCCCGAGAAGAGAATAGAGGAGAAGGAATTACTGTGTAGCCATCTCCCCTCAGGGGTTATTTCTAGCTTTCTGTCTCTCTATCTCTGTCTCTCCAGCGAGCACACATATTCTATAGCAATAAAAATGCGGGACCAGCAGGTGGTGCATGCCCAGGATCTTGAGTGGAGAATGGAGGAGAAGGGACTGTGGCGTGGCAATACCCCCCCAGTGGGGGTTTTCACTTTCTTTCTCTCTGTCTCTCTCTGCCTCTCCTGTGCATGTACCCTCTCTATAGCAAAAATTTCTCTCTAAACAAAAAGATAATTTTCTTCAAGGTTCATATTGATGCTTCTTTTTTTTTAGAATTTAACAGAAAGTTTGTGTGCTTGCTGGAGAGAAAGTGTAAAAGCATTCCCTCATGGGAGATGATCATGCTGCAATCCCTTCTCCATTCCTCCCTCTTTTTAGGATTTTGGGCACACTTGTACATACTTCTGGCCTGTGTCTCAAGCAGCTGGGTGCAGGACTTGAACCACCAGGTCAGCCATATATAATCCAACTCCCTTAATCAGTATGCCACAGTCTGCCCCCCCACATTGATCCCTTTTTTTTTCTATGTATTTAATACACACCCCAAAGCTAAAATGGTGATTAAAAAATGGATTAAATTTCATCACATTTTGAAAATATCTAAGAAATTTCCCCTTGGGTTTTTTAATTTTTTAAAAACTGCTTTAACATTTCTTAATTGATACAAAATAATTATGTTTATAGGTACAGTGCTTTTTTTGGTATATGAGTAGGATGTATAAAAATAAAATCAGGTTAATTAGCATATGCATAATCTCAGACATTTTTAATTTTGTTAGGATTATTCAATATCCTCTCTTTCAGCTGCTCTGAAATAATAAATTATTAACTGTATTTACCCTACTGTATTGTATAAGACACTATAACTTCTTTCTTAGCTAACTATAATGTTGGATTTGTTAACCATCATCTCTTTTTCTCCTCTCCCTCTACCTGTCTCAGCCCTTACTAATGACTATTATACTTTATATTTCTATGAACTATCAACTCTTTTAGTTTCTACATATGAGTGAGAACGTACGATTTTCTTTCTTTCTCTGTCTTGGTTACTTAATACAGTGTCCTCCAGGCATGTCCATATTGCCTCAAATGACAGGATTTCATTCTTTCACATGGCTGGGTAGTATTTGTGTGTGTGTGTGTGTGTGTGTGTGTGTGTGTGTGTGTGCATGTGCGTGTGTGTGTGTGTGCATGCGTATGTGTATATGTGCCCATGCACAAGCATACGCGCATGTGTAAAAATGAATACACACATTTTCTTTATCCATTGTCTGTCGATGGTCACTCTGTTTTTTCTGTATCTTGGTGTGGTAGTGTTGTAACAGCTTCGCAGCCCAGATACTAGTATGACGTACTGATTCCTTTGGGTATATGCCAAGTAGAGGGATAGCTGCATCATACAGCATGCATTACTTTTATTTTATGGAAATGATAGTGTTTTTTAGTTTAAACCTGTTTTAAAATCTTTAAGAAGGAAGAAAACTTAAGAATCATTTCATGTCCAATGTGTACCAACTTTTTGTCAACCACTTCTATATGTATGATTCAATAATTGTTCAGTGTTCTCATTACCTCCCTTCTGTAGAGGAAGTAATATTGAAAAGTTCATAATACTAAGGCAGAGCTGAACAACTTAATGTATTATTTATATAGAGAAGTCATAATTTGTTCAGGACCCTATTCACTTTAATTGATTACAGGAAAATAATAAAACTATAGAGTATTTTTCAGCATTTCTTTTTCATGTATTTACAAGTATTATGTAAAATCAAAGCCTATACATTTTCTTTTATTGTTTTGTTGACATTTTTCTAAGGGCTTTGGCAATAATAGGTAATTACCTTGGGAATTAATGCTGCTGTTGAATAGAATATTAAATCTTGTTTTCTAGGAGAAAAACTATTTTTGGTATAAGTCTGCTAAAAATTGTTAATCAGTTATATGTGTAATATAAAAGTAGCCACACTAGGATTTATATACAGCTTTTACTGTGAAGTGATTCTAATAATACTGATGAGTTTGCCAAAATGGTAGGTTAGAGATTTTTATTTTTTTATTTTATTTATTTATTTTTCTTTTTTTTGGGAGAAGTTTTTGCTATAGGGCGCGTGTGCTCGCCAGACAGAGACAGACAGCAAGAAATCACCCCCCCAGGATGGCCATGCCGCAAACCCTTCTCCATTCTCTTCTCGGGATCTTGGGCACGCACACACACGTGCCTGGTGTGAGTTTAAGCCACCGGGTCCAGGACTCGAACCGTGGTCGACTACATGGGAGTCCAGCGACATAGCCATTACACTAACTGCTGGTCCCTATTTTTTTATTTTTTAAGAGGTTTTTGCTATAGGGCGTGTGTGCTCGCCAGAAGGACAGAGACAGAGAGACAGAAAGTGAAAAATCACCCCCCGGGGGGATGGCCACGTCGTAATCTATTCTCCATTTGCCTCTTGGGATCTTGAGCACACCCACACACATGCCTGGCGTGACTTTAAGCCACCGGGTCTGGAACTCGAACCGTGGTTGACTACATGGGAATCCAGTGACATAGCCATTACGCCAACTGCTGTCCCTAGAGTAGGTTTTTAAGTTGACCAATAAGAATGAAAAAAGTATCAGCTTAAGTTGAAAAGATATACTTTAAAGGAGACCTTGGAGAGTAATTTTTAGGGTTTTTTTTTCTTTTTTCTTTTTCCCCCCCACAGGGCATGTGCACTTGTGGAGAGAGGGAGAGAGGGAAAGTGAGAAATCACCTCCCCTTAGGAATGTCCAAGCCTCAATCCCTCCTCCTTCCCTACTCAGGATTTTGGACGGACACACACACACACACACACACACACACACACATACGCATACACACACATGAACCCAGTGTGATTTTGAAGCTTTGAAGCTACTGTCTGGGACTTGAACCACAGTTGGCCATGCGGGAGTATATTCCCTTAACCACCACATCACTTCCTAGTTCCTCCAAAAGTGTTTTTACATGCAAAAAAGCTTAATATTAGAGCTAAACTATTGAGAAGTAATATACTTGATCATATAAAATAGTCTAGATTTCTTTAAAATAGCTTAGAAGTATTACCTTGGCAATTAATTACTAAGACGAGCATGTCATGAAGCTCAATATGAAATGATTTTATTGATTTTCATTCTAAGTCTACGTTTTGCTCCTTAGGATTTTAGTTAATTTTACAAAGGTGTTCTGGGGATCAGCAAATAGTATAGTGGTTATGTTGCTGAACTGGCATGTAGTCAACCATGTTTCAAGTCCCAGACTCTGTGGCTTAAGACTCATACCCAGCATGAGTGCGTGCATGCCCAAAATTGTGAGAGGAGAATGGAAGAGGAGGGACTGTGGCATGGCCGTCTCCCAGGAGGTTGATTTCTCACTTTCTTTCTCTTTGTCTTTGTGGTAAGTGCACACGACAATATCAAAACTGTTTCTCAAAAATAAGAGAAGTATTCTGATCTTGTCAATGGAATTAGTTTTCCCAGTGAGATATTGGTTGTAGTAACTTGGTAGTTTAAGTATGATTTAGTCTTAGAAGCTATAGGAATACATTTTGCTTACTGTCATGTCTTTCTTACGCCGGTTTGAGGAGTAAAATAAATAAAAACAAAACAGTATTAATATGAAATAAAATCTTATTTATACTGCAAGAGGGCTAAATGGGAATCTAAAGTTAATGTATTGACTTCTGCTTGTGAAACATGAAAACTCTAAAGTTAAATTTAGTTGCAAAATCATTTATGAATATATTGATATTTAAATAATTTTGAAACATGGAATTCTTCACCCTTCTTCCATAGGCTATCCACTCTGTTGCTTGGCATCATGAAGGAAAACAGTTTATTTGCAGTCATTCAGATGGCACTTTGACAATATGGAATGTGAGATCCCCTGCTAAACCTGTACAGACAATCACCCCACATGGTAAGACTGCATTGATTTTGAACAGTACCTAAATTGTAATGGACAGTAAACAGTTTTGTTCAAGTTTACATTTGGATTTGTTTGTTGGTTTTGAGAGTAAGGAGTTCGTATTCAGGAAAATAAAAAATATTTGCACTTTTGGAAATAATACTTAATAAATTTCAAGCATAATTAATAAAATCTGAAATAAACTCCAATTAAGCATACTTAAAGTTTAAATTACAAATTTTAACTTTGAGAATTTAAATGTCATGTTCTCTTCTGAATATTCCTTCGGTAATTTGCAAAGCAAGTAGTTCATGAGTGATAGATATAGGACTGCATTAAGCCTAGGTCATCTTAAAGCTGTCAACTGCAAGTTGTTAATGTTGTGAACATTTTAGCAATGTACTTGAAACACTTTATAGGATGTAATTTATGTTGAGAGTTCCCAAAATTTCCTAAGGTTTGATGATTCACTAGAAGGACCCATAGAACTCAACATATATAGTCCTATTTCTTGCAGCAAAAGGACATAAAGCAAAATCAGAAAAGGGAAATGCACATGGGGTAAAATACGGAAGAAGCCAGGTTTAAGCTTCCACTCGTCCTCTTCCTGTGGAGTCGCACAGCACATGTTTAATCCTGTAGCCGTGAAGTGCATGCTTAGCACACATACAAAATAGGTCTACTAGAAAATTTCACCTGAGCTTTATCCAGAGTTTTTATTGAAGTTGGTCATGTAGGCACCCTTTACTTTACCATGTACCAAAATTCTAAATTCTCAAAGGAAAGCAGGAATTTAGCTGGAATCACATCCTTTGTGCAGTTTAACACAGTGAACCACTGTTATCAGTCAGAGAATGGTGGGAGCTCTTGAAAGTCAAGTGTCCAGACACCAAAAGTGAACCCTTTCTTTGCTAACTCCTTTCTGACAAAGAGTATTTATAAAACTTATTAAATTTTATTAGAATGCTTATTAAATACAGATCATGGAGGCATGGTAGTGGCTCATCAGTAAAACAACTGGACACACATGCAAAGGTCCTAGGTTTTAGTTCTGACATCTCTCTGTACGTGCAGGGTGATGCACATGCGTACCTGTTAATTGGGGCTGGCTAAGACTGAGGGTGGATCATTGTGTGAGGATGCTGTCATGAGTGTCCTTCTCTTTTTTGTCTCTCTTTCAAGAACAGTAAATAAACTTAAAAATAAAACAGGTTACAAAGTCCTTTTGATTTTAATGTTTACATTTCTTTATTAATATACAGCTTCCATCTCTTCCCCAAGTTTATCCTACTCAGCAGTTTTAGGGATCTCATATTAAAGGACCTGTTTTTTAAATTTGGTATTATGTTGAAGAGTACCATTGTTGTTATTTTTAGTATTTCATTGTGTGCTTTAAATATGTATGCCCATTTACTTTTAAATTGATACATTCTGAATTATTACAGTGTAGAAATTGAAGAAATACTAAATTTAAAAACTGGCTTAATCTGTCTTTAGTAAGATAGGTTTTAATACTTGTTTATTTTCTGGGGAGAGAGTAACAATTGGTTTTTTTAAGTTTATTTCTCCCCTGAGAGAGAGAGAGAGAAGAGAGAAAGAAATTGGGTGGGGGGACCAGAACAGGCTATCATATCATAACTTACCTTCAGCCTTAGTCAGGCACAATTAAACGCACCTGATACGTACTGGGAGGTCTTGAGACAACGAACCTAGGACCTTCACATGTGGGTCCCGACTTATAGAACACTGTGTTAGCACTGTGCCACCAGCTGGACCCATTATAATTCTTTTTTTTCCATAATTGATAGAGGGTACATGGACTTGCTAGAGAGCGAGAGAGAGAGAGAGAAGGAGATATTTTATACATTTATCACTGTACATCAACACAGCTTGTAAAATGAATTTCGCAGTGTGAACACACTGCACACCATTCCAGTTAAAGATATCATACACACTATCATCTACAGTCTTCCACTTCTGCGTCTCCCAGATGTCCTGCCTTTCTATTTTTCTCTTTGATTTCCTTCCTCTCACACAGCTCCCAACTGCTTCCCTCACTATATCCAGTATCTGAAGCTGTTTTCCATGCTACTGTATTCTCGTCTTTCAGTTTCAGCCAAAGAGTGCAAACATTTGGTATATATTAAGTGGGAATATACCATGTCTCTATTTCATAGACCAAGTTACATCCCTCAGAAGTAATTCTTCCATATTCATCCACTTTCTATCAAATCCCAAGGACTTGTTTTTTTCTATGACTGGATAGTATTCCATAGTGTACATATGTCACACTTTTTCAGTCCATCCATCTGTTTGTGGACATTTGGGTTGGTTCTGTGTCTTTAACAATTGTGATTAATGCTGCAATAAACATGAATGTGGAAGCACTTTTTCTGACTGAGTACGCTCCTATCCTCTGGGTAGATTATCAGGCGTGGAATTGCTGGATCATATGGTAGTTCTATTTGTTGGTATTTTAGGAACCTCCATATTGTTCTTCACAGTGGCTGTACTAATTTACATTCCCACTAACAGTGTAGGAGAGTTCCCTTTTCACCACAGCCTTGCCAGTACTTAACTTTTTTTTTCCTTTTTTTAAAATCTTATCCATTCTTACTGGAGTTAGAGTATCTCATTGTGGTTTTGATTTGTGTCTCCCTTATGATAAGGGATGTTGAGCATTTTTTTATTTGCTTTTTAGTTGTTTGTTTTCATTCGAGAGTTGTCTGATCAGTTTATTTTCCCATCTTTTAATTGGGTTGATCAATTTTTTTGGGGGGGGTAAGCCATTTGTAGTCCCTGTATATTCTGGCTATCAGTCCTTGTCTGAGGTATAGTTTGCAAATATATTCTCCTATTCCAAGGTTGTCGACTCACTCTGTTGTTTCTTTTGCTGTGCAGAAGCTTCTTAATCTAATATAATCCCACTTGTCTATTTTGGGGATTATTGCTTGTGCTTTGGGGTTCTTATTTAAGAAGTCTGTCTACATCATATTCTCCAAGAATTTCCCCAGTGTTTTCCACAAGTAGCTTTATAGTTTGAGGTCAGAGGTATCTATTCTATAGATATCATATTTATTGTATATAGTATGTTACTACTTTGATGATCTGTTACTCTTAACTTCTAGCGAAACAGTAATGGTAAATTATTTTAAATGTACTAGTTTTAAAATTTTTCCATACTTTTTTTTTTCTTATTTAGACCTATCTAATGATTATTCAGGTGTCTTAATATTAATATTTTTTGGGACCAGCAGTTGGCATAATGACTACGTTGCTGGACTCTCATGTAGTTGACCGTGGTTCAAGTCCTGGACTCGGTGGCTTGAACTCACACTGGGTACGTGTGCATGTGTGTGCCCAAGATCCAGAGAGGGGAATGGAAGAGAAGGGATTGTGACGTGGCCATCCCCCCTGAGGGGTGATTTCTCACTTTCTGTCTCTCTCTGTTTTTCTAGCGAGTGTACACACCCTATAGCAAAAACCTCCCACCCACTCACCTCCCCCCCAAAAAAAACCCCACATTTACGATATTTCCTTGTATTTTAAAACTCCTACCAGTACTTTTCTATGGTCTACTTAAAAATAGGTTAAGATACCTTAAAAGAAACTATTCAGAAGACATAATACTACATTTGCCTGACATGTGATTCTGTATATACAAAAGATTTGTAAGTAATCCCTAATCCCTTAGTTTCTGGCTCTGTGACTTTGAGAAGTCAGTTAACACTTCTGAAACTCATATAAATTCTTATATGTAAGTAGAAGTAATAATTAAACTTAATCTAGTCTCGTGTTGTTTTGAGACTTTTATTTATTCTGCAAATATTTATTGTTCCTACTATATGATAGGCACTGTTCTAGGCCTTTGATCAAATAAGCATAATGTAAGTAAAAATACCTAAAATGTGAACCTGCAGATTACTTACTTAATAGTTACTTATATGGTAGGATAGAGGTAGATACTTATTTTCTTATGTTGTTTGGTAGAAGTATATCATGGTCTAAGAAATTTTGGAAATACTGAATAAAGTGAAAATGTTTATTCACTATAAGACTCAACAGGTGATTTTTAACTCCCTAAAACAAACAAAAGCAGTAGCTCCCTTTAATCTAGTTTTTATGAATATCAAAGAACATCTCCCTGGCAGTCAGACTGGAATTTATCTCCAGCTTTACTAAATGTGAAACATTTTGTAACGATAATTTCTCCTCTCCTACACTTCAATTATTATTATATAAAATGGCAGGAGTGGATGGGATGATTTTCAGGATACAAAGTTTTGAGACTGTGGAAATTAAGCAGGATTTGGCTCCATATACTGACTCTGGAGTCATTTTTTCTGGGGGTTATAGATTCTGTGTTTCTCTTTGGTAACTCTGGGGGCAAGTTCTGTTTCTCTTCAGGCTGTGTTCTCTTCATGGCAGATAGGCTTTCATTATTTAGGAAGGAATAACTTTCATAGTCCTCTCATGGCTCACATTCTGAGCCTGAAGCAGTCATCTGGGTTATGTGATTTACTGGGCCAGAACTCCACAGATCCTCCCTCTAGCTCTGGAACGGGGTTGATGTGTTGCAGAGTGATATTTTCTATTATTGTCAGCTTCACCAAAATCAGATGGTTCCCCAAGGAAATGGAGATGCTGCACAGTCAGAATCAATGGACATCCACTATAGGAAATGCCATTTTTAATTTAGTTTTTGGAGATTATTCATCAGGGCATTCAATCCACTTACCAAGGAGTAAACCAAGATGAGGGGACTTTTATTTGATTAAGGGTTGCTAAAAGGAAAATAAAATCAAAGTTCACATAAGTAGAAGTCAATACATTAAGGGTGAGACATAACAAAGAAATCCATCTACTTTTAAGATTCATGTGCAGCATAACATAGTCATAAAATAAACTATACCTGAATTCTTCTTATAATTCATTACAAAGTTTTCCCTACTTTATACATTTGAAAAGATTTACTGGATTTATAGACCATACTCACGTAAGTCTCTTTCACA